AAGAATGATACATTGGACTTTAGGGACTTGAGGGAAACGGTGGGAGGGGTTGAGAGATAAAAGACCACACATTAGGTACAGTGTACACTGCTTGGGTGATGGGTACACAAAAATCTCAGAAATCACTGCTAAAGAACTTACTCGTATAAACAAACATAGGACTGCTTCCTAAAAACCTGTTGGAATAAAAAATAAATCTTAAAAAATAAAATAGCTAAAAAGAGTGCAAAATAAATTTGCAAAAGATATTTAGCTAGTGTGTTAATATTTTATTTTATTTTTTGAGACATGGTCTCGCTCTGTCACCCAGGCTGGAGTGCAGTGGCGTGATCACGGCTCCCTGCAACCTTGACCTACTGAGCTCAATGATTCTCCCATGTCAACCTTCCAAGTAGTCGGGACCACATCACCATGTCTGGCTCATTTTTGTATTTTTTGTGAAGATGGAGGTCTTACCATATTGCCTAGGCTGGTCTCAAAGTCCTTGAATTCAAGCAATCCTCCCACTTTAGCCTCTCAGAATGTTGGATTAAAGCTGTGAGTGGCCATGCCTAGCCATGAATGTGTTAATTTTTACTCACCAAAGTAGTCTATGCGCTTTTCCATTGCCCACATTTTTGCTGATTGTTAATACTGCTGGATTTTAAAATCTTTGCCAATCCAAAGTGTATAAAATAGTATTTCATTATTGTTTTACTTGCTATTCCCTGATTACATGTGAGGCGGATAATATTTTTATATGATTCTTGGCCATTTAGATTTCCACTTGAGTGAGTTTCCTCTTAATAATCTCCACCCATTGTTTGCTGGGTTGTTTATGTTTTTCTTACTACTTCACTGGTCCTTTACATTTCTCAATACTAATGCTCAGTCTGTTACTTATAGTTCAAATATTTTCTACAAGTCTATAGATTGTCTTTTAACAATGACATATTCTGAGAGCTCATTTTAATTAAAATTTTATCAAAGATTTCCTAAATTTTTATCAAATTTTAAACATTTACCAAACTTGTTCTTTATAAGTTATACATTTTTCGTCTTGTCTAAGAAATCATTCCCTACCTTTAATTCACAAAGATTTTCCTATTAAATACATACACCGTCTTCAAGTCCTGTTTTTCACATTTGGTCTTTAATTTATTCAAAACTTTGTATTAGTCCGTTCTTGGATTGCTATAAAGAACTACATGAGACTGGATCATCTATAAAGAAAAGAGGTTTAATTGACTCACAGATCTGAAGGCTGTTCCAACATCTGCCTGTTACCCAGTTTCAAAGCTGCTTCCACATTTTCAGGTATCTTTATAGCAATGCCCCACTCCTAGGTACAAATTTACTGTATTAGTTTGTTCTTGCATTGTTATAAAGAACTACCTCAGACTGGATAATTTATAAAGAAAAGAGGTTTAGTTGGCTCACGGTTCTGCAGGCTGTACAGGAAGCATAGCTGGGGAGGCCTCAGGAAGCTTCCAATCATGGCAGAAGGTGATGGGGAAGCAGTCATGTCTTACATGGCTGGAACAGGAGGAAGAGGAGAGAAAGGTGTTACACACTTTTAAACAACTGGATCTCATGAGAACCCACTCACTATGAAGAGAACAGCAAGAGGGAAATCCACCCTCGTGACCCAATCACCTCTCCCCAGGTTCCTCCTTCAAGATTGGGGGTTACAATTTGGCATGAGATTTGCAGAGGGTCCAAAATCCAAACCATATCAAACTTATTTTTTAGAATATTAAGAAGTAGGAACATAATTTCTTTTTTTTTCTATATGACAGTCACTAGTGCCATTTTGACACTGGTTTGTAATGCCACCTGAATCACATACAAATCACATAACTTGTGCTTTCTGAGTCTCTATTTAGTTTTCCAATCTATTGATCCATATGCCTGTGTCAGTGCCAGACTGTCTCAGTGATCAAGATTTCTATGTCAGGACCAGTCTCCTGCTTAATGTTCTCTTTTCTGAGGTTGTTTTGTTTGTTTTGAACCTTTAAGCTTCCAAATGAATTTTAGAATTGTTTAGTTTCATTATATATTCTCTTGCTTCTTTCCTCAGAATTGCATTGAATCTACAGGTTAACTTGGGGAAAATCTACAAGTTTACAGCACCGAGCCTTATCATTGTTTAGTAAGGTAGATTAAAATCAAAGTATGTCTGTAGCTATTACATTGTGAATAGCCGGAAACTTTGAGGAAAATTCCTCCAGTATTCCATAACTATTATCTAATTCAGCAAAGACGTCATTGTCTAATGAATGCCCAGAAGACATCTTCACAGTTTCACTTTGTTAACTAATAAAACTATCAATCAACATTCCTATCAAAACTATACTTATTCATCATTGGTTGGCTTCAGAAACAAGAATTCAGCAAAAAACCAGTGAATATATTCTGTGAACATCAATTGGCTTTATCCAATTTATAATAGTGTTATATATCTTATTGTTTGTAAGTTACGTCATACATAACCCTTATATCAGAAAATACAATAAACTTTTGTATAAACACTTTTAATATATTTTTAATTTCTTAAAAATATAGTGATAGTCTTCCCCCACCTCCCTAGCCAGAAAGCTGTTTGTTAAATATTTACCAGCACACCACTGGTATAGCCCTCTTTTAATCAGCAGTATCTACATATCCTTGCAGAAGGCCACTCTGCTCCTAGGACAAAAGTGCCAGAGAGTGCCCTCAGGTACAGATTCTCTGAGAGGCCTCATGAAAAGTGTCCTGTTATGGTTGTTAAACATTTATCAGCACACCAATGGTTCTAGTCCACTCCTCAAGGTAGCAGCTCTCAACCAATGACAGAAGGAGTTGATGTATAAATATCCCAGCTCCCTCACCCTCAGGTGGATTGAGGTGGGATAATTCTGATATATGTTTTATGCTGTTTCTCAGAGTTTCCCTAAGAGATTAAGCTCCAGTCACCCCAAGTGGAAGCTGCTTTGGTAACCCTCACTTTGTTGTTTGTCTTCTCTTTCATCTTACTTTTCCTTTTCCCACTGATGTCATCTCCCAAATCAATCTGTGCTTGAATTCTTATCTGCTCGAGCCCACTGGATCTGTAATTCTTATACCCTTTCAATTTGATCAAAGGTTTTAAAAAAGGATAGAAAGTAGAGATTGGATTTTGTGAAGAGAGCAATTTGGAGAGAGTTGTTCCTATGCACTAAACTCCACTTGCCCAATAAAGGAGAGGAGAGGGTGGGGTGGGGGTCGGGGAGGGGGAGGGAGGGAGGGAGAGAGAGAGAGAGAGAGAGAGAGAGCATGCTAGAGAGCACACGTGGAATTTTCTCAACTCAAGTGTATAAGAATATCTCAAGTGTATGAGAATATAGATTAGTTTTCCAGGGCTGTTGTAACTAGATACTACAAGTTGAGAGGCTTAAAACAACAGCAATTTACTCTCTCACATTTCTGGATGCTACAGATCTGAAATGGAAGCACTAGCAGAGTTAGTTCCTTCTGAGAGCTCTAAAGAAGAATCTGTCCCATGCCTGTTTCCCAGCTTCTGGCGATGGATGGTAGTCCTTGGCATTCCTTGGATGACTCACATTTCCTGCCTTTGTCTTTGACTCTCTCCTTCTCCTCCTTCCTACTCCTTCCTCCCTCCTTCCCCTCCCCCTCCCCCTCCCTCCTTCTCCCTCTCCCTCCTTCCCTCCCTCGTCCTCCTCCTCCCCTTGGAAAAAGAGCCCACCACACTTTAGTATGACATCATCTTAACTAGTTGAATCTGCAATAATCCTACTTATAAATAAAGTCACATTCTGAGGTTCTGGGGTTAGGACTTCAGCATATCTTCTGGGGGACATGATTTAACCCACAATAGGACATTATTTCATGAGCTCTCTCAGAGACTTTCTATCTGCGGGGGTGATGCCTGGCTCATGCCCAGGGAAAGCTAACAGGACTAGTGGTGTCAGCACAAAGGCAGTAACAATAGGTTGGACCTGTACTCACAGACCGAGCGGGAACAAAGATTGTATGAATATGCTACATGGACTAGCCAGTGTGCCTGGCTTAGGTTCTGCCCGATAAGATCACTTACATGGCTGGAGGACCCTGGCAAGAAGCTAAAGTTAACACTGAATTTTTGAGGACTTAGGAAGGATTTGCAAATGATAAGAATAGGGTTACATCTGTCTGAATTAAGAAAACATAGGGAGGAATCCCCAGGGACATAAACATTCAAAGAACTCATGAAGATGCCCCATGAGACAGAGTCAGCTTTAATCCTGTGCTGAAAAGCAAAAGTACGATGCTACTTGGCAAAGTTAGAACTGCGTTATCCTTTTACTTCTCTCTTCCATATCTTTTTTCATCCTGGTTGGGGCAGAAACAGTAACTAATAAATGGGGGAGAAGAAGGGATGCAGAGAGAGTTGAAGTCAATCACACTCTTGTTGCCAGAGGCAGGTGGCTATTAACCAGGACTTAGTATGATGAGCGCAGAGAAGTTCCACCTTTCAGTGAGTTCTAAAGCCTTTGAAAGTAGCTTGTACTAGACTTTCTGATTTCCTAATATGGATTATGATTGGAAACTTAGGGGGGCTTTAAGATTGTCCTTTGCCCAGAAATGAGTAGGCAATGAAATCATGATTTCAGACCTTATGTGTTTCATAAGCAGGAGAAAAGTACCCCACGAAATAAATTTGGAAGGGTCATTTTTTTTAATTTTTTTTATTTTTTTGAGATGGAGTTTCACTCTTGTTACCCAGGCTGGAGTGCAATGGCGCGATCTCGGCTCACCGCAACCTCCGCCTCCTGGGTTCAGGCGATTCTCCTGCCTCAGCCTCCTGAGTAGCTGGGATTACAGGCATGCACCACCATGCCCAGCTAATTTTTTTGTATTTTTAGTAGAGACGGGGTTTCACCATGTTGACCAGGATGGTCTCAATCTCCTAACCTCGTGATCCACCCGCCTCGGCCTCCCAAAGTGCTGGGATTACAGGCTTGAGCCACAGCGCCCGGCCGGGTCTTTTTTTTTTTTTTTGACCAGGGAAAGCGCGACCACAGTCCCCTGCTACCACAAATTATGCAGTCGAGTTTCCCACATTTGGGGAAATCGCAGAGGCCAGCACATCCGGAGTGCAATGGATAAGCCTCGCCCTGGGAAAACCACCTTCATGATCATGGTATCTCCCCTGCCAGGTGGAAGGGTCATTTTTTTTTTTTTTTTGAGACGGAGTTTCGCTCTTGTTACCCAGGCTGGAGTGCAATGGAGCGATCTCGGCTCACCGCAACCTCCGCCTCCTGGGCTCAGGCAATTCTCCTGCCTCAGCCTCCTGAGTAGCTGGGATTACAGGCTCGTGCCACCATGCCCAGCTAATTTTTTGTATCTTTAGTAGAGACGGGGTTTCACCATGTTGACCAGGATGGTCTCGATCTCTCGACCTCGTGATCCACCCGCCTCAGCCTCCCAAAGTGCTGGGATTACAGGCTTGAGCCACCGCGCCCGGCTGGAAGGGTCATTTTTAAGTAAACACAAAGTTGCCTAGGATTACTTCCCATAAGTCATGCAATCAACAAGTTACATTTTATCCTCATTTCTCGACTCCTCAAATCCCTCTTCATTCAATCATACCGAGTTTCTTAAATTTCCTCAAACCAAGCCCACTGTTTGGTTACTCCATGCTTTCGCACGTGCTGATCTGCCTGCCTGTAGCATCCTCCTGCTTTCTTCCTCTTCTATCTGGCTGATTCCTGTATAATCTTTCAATGCATTGTCTCTTCAACATCACCTTCTCTGAGAACTATTCTTTTAACCTCTTCCTTCCCACCCATATTTAGATGCGTGCTCCTACATAACAAATCTTACCACACAATTGTTGATTTTACGTGTGCTCCCCACTGCTCTGTGATATCCTTGAGAGCCTGAAATAGGCCTTATGATGTTCTCGGTGTTTACTACAATGCCTACCACACAGTAGGCATTCAATAAATAACTCTCAGTGGTTGGGGGTGGGGGTTGGCAGGGAACAGCTTAGGAGCCAATTCTTAGGATTCTCCTGGGAAAGTCCTACATTTCTGGAGCAGAATAAAAGGCTTCTGGAAGGTGTGAAGCAGCCCATGAGTCAGAAGAAACATCACTGGGCTTGCAGAGAGCAGCAGAAGGTGGAGCTACTCATAGACCATGTGAACATGGCACACTCAGGAGTGCCATCTTTGAATCCCACAGGATTGTAAGGAGATCAGAGATTTTTCTGAGGTTCTCTAGAAGTTGGGTGACAGGTGGAAAGAGCTAGTGCTTTGTAGCCGTTGTCAAAATTTTTGTTGACTTGAACCTGAGTGCATATGAGATGAATAATTGATACCAAAAGGATAAAGAAAATTTAAATAAATGTGTCAGGTACCATGCTTAGCACACTACTTGACTTAGGAAAGAACTCTAAGAGTCCTAAAGAAGCAACAAGCATCTCAATAGAAATTTAATATAAGGAAATCTATTAACCTAGAACATGAGAAAGCAGACAAAGAAAAATGTGAAAATACACACACACACACACACACCACACACACGGTTTGTTTCAGCATTTCACCACTGCCTCTCATGAGTAAGTACTGCTTTCTTGACTCTTCTCCTCTGTGAATGACTCTGTTCATAATGTTTATAACAAAATGTAGCAATAATAAAATATAATGAAAGACAAATGGATATATTTTTTAAAGTAATGGTACAAAAGAGTGTTTATGCTGCATGGTGGGACATTTTTCATATTAAAAAGGGCCAAATTTATCCACATAAAACATGATCTTGATCACTGCATTTTCTGTGGAGTAAAAGCTATTTAAAGTATATTTCCTTCCCTTAGCTCTTTCAGACTTCACCTCTTATCTTTGTTGGACACTGGATATTAATGATCAGCTTATTGTTGGTCTCACTGGAAGGTGAGCCACTTCCTCCTGCGGAAAACCTAGCTCCTGGGAAGCTCACTGTGCTGTATTTTTTAGGAAAAATCTTAGAGTCTTCATTTGGGGCCTGAACATGAGACAGTGAATAGTGTATTTGGGATCTGAAAGACCAGGAGCAGCGACCCTTGAGGGAAATTTTGTTTCTTTCTATGGTAATGGAATAGAGTCACAGAGCTGGACCTTCGTGTTCTTTTCTGGGCCTTCCTTTCTTAGATTGATGCCTAGTGAGGAGGAATTATTATTTGTTTGTTTCCACACCACCAATTTCTCCCATTTCTACTCTCCCTTCTTCAGCTGACTACTGGAAGCTGAGACATTTATTAGGTTGGGTTTTTTTTGTTTTGTTTGTTTGTTTGTTTGTTTTTGCTTATATCGATGGTGGAGGAAGTTAGAACATACTTGCTACATACATAAGCTTTATAACAAACCTCATCATCATCACCAATTTCATCTTCATAAAAAATAGAAACATTCTAATAGTCTTTCTTACTGAACATTTGCTGTGTCCCAGTACTGCCAGAAGAATTTTATATAAATCTCATTTAATACTCACCACAACTTCATGAAATAGATAACCCACCTTCCTTCCTTCCTTCCTTCCTTTTCTCTTTTCTTTTCCTTCATCAGCTTCTATATCAAGAATACTGTGATACTGTTTTCAGTTTTCACACAAGGAAGCTGGGATATGGGAGGCCGGCGTGACTTGTGCAAGGTCTCAGAGTGTGGAAGAGGCGGGGTGAGACCAAAGCCCATGTTCCTTATCCCTGTGTTGACATTCACACTCAGCACCAGGCACCTTTCATTGTTGATGGTTTTGTAGTTTGAGAACTTTTAGTGATAGCATTTTTAACCCGAGACCTAATTTCTTGGTCATCCAGAAGCAAATAGGTGTCCTACAAACTGATGTAAGGTTCTTCTAAGTAAGGTATAATTATGATGGCAAATCTGTTTTTTTGTTTTTAAGTAAGCCATTCTTTAAAAATGAGCCATTCTTGCCCTACCCCCAAGTGACTTGTGGAGAGATGATTCTGTGTAATTTTAATTCTACATTTTCTGTTCCTCAGAGTTGTTTTTTAGAAAAGTATTTATTTGGAAGCACTACATTGAAAGGGGAAAAGTCAATGTGCTTTTAAAGGTAGATTGTCCAGATTGATTTTTAAATTTTATTCTACGTCTATTTTTGAACATCATTTAGTAACAAAATATTAGTTGTATCCTTGATAACAGAGAATAAATTATAAGTCCTATACTTTCTGAAATAGATGTCACTGATAAAAATTCAATTTGAGCCCATTTATAAGAACATTATATATAAATATATATATATATTTAACAAAAGTATACAATACTTATATACTGAAAACAATAAAATATTGTTGAGTCAAAATAAAAAGACCTAAATCAATAGAGGGATATGTTACATTTATGGATTAGAAGATTCAATATTGTAAATATGCCAATTAATCCATAACAGAGGTAAAAAATCTATGACCCATGGACAAAATGCAGCCCACTGCTTGCTTTTGTAAATAAAGTTTTATTGGAACACAATCATACCCTAAAACATGATCTTGTTCACTGCTTTTTCTGTGGACTAAAAGCTATTTAAAATGTATTTCCTTCCCTTCACTCACATATTACCTATGGCTGCTTGTGCTCTCAAAACCTAAAATATTTACTATCTGACTCTTAAATGAAAAAGTTTGTGAACTCCAGATCTATGCATTAACATAATTTCAGTCAAAATCCTTAGGACTTGTTTGTGTGTAGAACTGACAAGCTGATTCTAAATTGCACAGAAATTTAAAGAACCTAGAATAGTTGACAGTCTTGAAAGAGAACATTCTTGGAGAATTAATACTGACATTCTAAAAGTGAAGTTGGGCTGCTTAGGGCCCTGTCATCCAGGGTGTTTTTCTCAGCTTTGTTTCTCCTCCTTCAGTCTCCTAACCTTTGAGAAAGTCCCACCTCAGAAGACTCATTTCCTTCCTGAGTTTGTACGAGGAGAGGAGACAGATCGTCACTGCACAGCTCCTGTGACATAATTCAGTTCTGATGAAGGGCTGCAGACAGGTGAAGGTGAAAGAGAGCAACCGGCCTTACTAAAACTTGGTGCCTTCTAAGGAAGTTGGTACAGATGAGTGCTCTGGGCAAAGCATTCATCTGGGATGAGTGGGATGATTTGTGGGTCAACCCTGACTACAGTGCCCTCTCACTTTGGGGTTCTTCCACTTGGACCTCCTCTGCTACAACCATTTATAACCCCTTTGCTTCTGTGTTCTCTCTATAGCTCAACTGCGGGCAAAATCAAAACCCCCTTCTTTTCCTTGTTCCTCTTACCTCCTGTATCACCCAAGATCCGATACCCAGTTAAGTCCTCTGGCCTCAAGCAAAGCAGTTAATTGATGAACTTTCTTATTATGTATTTCAGAAGAGGCAAAAGCGCCTCCTCTGAAAGCTATGGAAAACCGAAATTAGCATAATCAAGGAAAATATAAAACGCTGACTGCCTGATTTATAAAACCCAGCTTTTTTACATCTGATTTTGCCAAAATTATTGAAAAGATACTCAATCTCTGTTTGACTCATATTTTTTCTCCGATCTGAGTCATTTCCAGGTAGTTTCCCAATTCTTAGAAACAGGTGTAGCTCTTCTCGAACGTTTCTCAGTATTTTGCCCCGGGAGAGGACTGACTCTCTCTGCCTTAAAAACTAAACTTTTTCATGACTCAAACTCCCAGATATCCTAGGATCTGCTCTTACTTTAAGGTCTGTTTGGAGCAATAAGCCTAGTGCATAGATGACTTCAAGTGCAATAATGGTTGACATCTTCCATTCCCAGTCATTACCTAGCTTTGTCAGTATGACACAGCAGCTACAGTGAAATGGTTCTGAAACCAGTCCCGCTGGGTTCAAGTCCTAGCTCCACCTTGGCTAGCTCTACAACTTTGGGCAAGTTACTTAACCTCTCCCTGTCTCAGTCTCTTCATCAGTAAAATGAGGATAATAATAGTGCTTACTTTGTAAAATCCTACCTTGCAAGGTTATGATGAGTATCCATTGGGAAGATAAACAAAATAGAATTAGGAATCAAGACTTATTTGTCACTTAAAAATATCATTAATTCTTTTTAAGCCTAGTTTATCAGTTCCGCCCACTTTGGAGTTAACACTGAATAGGTGAGAAGGCAGGTCACTTCTGATAATACCCAGCCGTGTAGGGAGAGGGGCATATCCCCAGAAGAAGTGG